ATTTGGGGAATGGAGGCTGGGGTTCGGGGAGGGGAGGGGCCTCAGCAGGGTACAATGCCACAGAGTCTACCCTCCAAAGCAGCCCTTTTCTCCAGGGTATCTGATCTTGGTCGTCTGGGGATTAACTGTGGGTAGCAGGAGATCTCCAGGTGCCACCTGTTGGCTGGCAATCCTAAATTTGACACAGTGCAGCGCTTCTGGTCTCTGAGAAAAAATATCTGCATTTCCTCAGTGCTGCCAGGTGATTTTGGGGGGGGGAAAGTTTTCCCCTTCAGCCATTAAAAAACCTGAATCTCAATTAGAGCTGCAGAAGGCCCTATAAGGATATGGTAAGACCTTCCCCCGGGAGCCAGCTGTAGGATTGTTCTCTTCCATCTATTTTCGGTATCACTGATGGCCTTGAAGCTGCCGTTCCCAAGTGAGGCTCAGGGAATTCAGCTCCCTGGTTCCCACCAGCTCCAGTTAATTGACAGCATCTCCCGCCAATCACTGGCCTCTTGCAGAGTCCAGTCGAAGTTACTTTTCGCTGTCTGTCTTCTGCATCCAGATGCTCGGTATTTCTCATCCTTTGTAGAAGGTAGAATCTGGTGATTTATGATTTAGCATGTTGCCGCACTTGTTTTATTTTAAAGTGACTGTGGCTAGAAGCTTGGCCTCGCTGGAATGCTGTTTATATTGTCAAAATGAACCAAACTGCATAGCTGTCAGTCAGCCAAAGCAAGAGAGATTAAGGAACACGGACATTTCCCATTCATATTCAAGCTAAGCTAAAACTGGGTAGAAGGATAAAAGAACAGGCATTTGTATTTCGGTTGTCAGCTCCTTGGGGCAGGAGATTTTCTTTTTTTGCTCAGCAGTTTCATAAATTACCATGGATACTGAAGGTGCAATAAAATAATATGGTACTTCGTAGTGGGAAGGCTCAGAAGTTAACACACTGAGCTGCAGACCGGAAGCTCTGTAGTTCGGCAGTTCAAGACCTAAGTGCCACTTCACGGAGTGAGCTCCCGTTTCTGGCCCCAGCTCCTGCCAACCTAGCAGTTCAAAAGCAAGAAATTGCAAGTAGATAAACAGGTACCACTTTGGTGGGAAGGTAACAGCGTTCCGTGCGCTTCGGCGTTTAGTCATGCCGAACACATGACCACGGAAATGTCTTCGGACAGCACTGGCTCTTCGGCTTGGAAACGGAGATGAGCACCGCCTCCTAGTGTCGGATCCGACTGGCTTTCGAGCAAGGGGACCTTTACCTTTAGTGGAAAGCACTGTCAAGTCACAGCTGATTTATGGCAACCCAGTAGGGTTTTCAAGGCAAGAGATGTTCAGAGGTGGTTTGCCATTGCCTGCCTCCGTGCAGCAACCCTGGACTTCCATGGTGGTCTCCCATCCAACTACTAACCATGACCGACACTGCTTAGCTTTGTAAGAGCAGACGAGATCAAGCAAGGCTGGGTCATCCAGGTCAGGGGGCATTAAGGTACTTACGGGACCCAAGTAAGTGACTGCAGCACAGCTTTATGATGGAAGGACTTACACCCAGGGGTCATTTCGTAGAAAAAGAGGTGCACGAGCTCATTAGCATAACTTATTTGCATATGCCACACCCCCTGACATCATCGAAATGTGACAGAAGGCACCACTGGAGTGTTTTGGATTGCTAGCTATTGGGGGGGGGGGAAACGTGCAGATCTGTCCACACAGAGGAGGGAGAGCTTGTACCTGAATAAAATTTGGTCTTAAAGGTGCCACCGGACTGTTTTGGACCGGGGGGCCAGGGGGAGCTCTGCAACTTACCTGGCTGCTTCTTGCTCTGACTGAGGGCTGCTGGGAGCAGGGGGTGGGGCTTGTTGCATGTGCCCGCCCCCTGGGCTGTTTACTGCCGGAGCTCTGCTCCTGTGCGCTCCTGCAGGAAATGATCCCTCCTTACACCCCATTCCTACCATGAATCGAGTTAGTGCTGTGTTGGGCTTTGGTCACAGAAAGGACTCATTAGTCTAAAGGAAAGGATCGATCCCCAGAAAAGTATTTTTGCAAAGAGATCTCAAGAAACAGTCTCATGAGTAAGGCCAAAGACATGCACTTGCCCTGCCCTGCCATGGAATGATTAGGCTGGATCTTACCAACTTTTCCGCTGATGAATGAAAGAAGAGCCTCCTCTGATGAGTGAGGTCTCCAAAAGGCTGCCTGGGAAGAGGGTCCCATGTGGACAAAAAGCCCTGTGTGCTGGAGTGGGGGGGGGGCACGTCAGGCAGAAGTCAAGTGGAAAAACTGGCCCTTTTGTTCTCATTCGCACGTTTGCTGTCTTAGGGGAACGGGCTGTCTACCTGTGGTCTCTTGTCAGAGCCCTGGAGCTGGTCAGCCATCCTCCTGTGAGCCAGGAGAAAGACCAGAGGTCTTTGTCGATGGTATGTCATATCAGGGGAAGGAAAAGCAAGTTAAACATTTAGAAAAAGGAAAGCCTCCGGATGTTTAGACTGCCTGTGCTTTCAGGGATGATGTGGGTGCACGCCTCTTCCTCCACCTTCTGCAGGTTGTCTGGGTTTGCGCCAGGAACAGCGTCTGAAAAAGAGGATAATTTTTTTAAAAAAATTAAGCAGCTGGCCATAGACCTGATTGAGTCGAAAAGGCAAGACAGAAATGGCATGAAGCAGTTAAACGCATTTTCAGAGGAAGAGCCAAGGGGGCTGCAAGCTTTTACAACTGATCTCCAGACGACAGAGAGCAGCTCCCCTGGAGAAAAGCGGCTGCTTTGGAGTGTGGACTGACTCTCTATGGCACATTGTACTCTTCTGAAGTCCCTCCCCTCCCCAAACCCCACCCTCCCCAGGCTCCAAACCCCAATCGCCAGGCATTTCCCAGCCTGTAGCTGTCGTCCCCAGTAGCTACAGTTGCCAACTCCAGGTTGAGAAATTCCTGGTGACCTTGGAGGTGGAGCCTGAGGAGTGGGGGGGGGGGTTGGGGGAGGGCAAAACCCCAGGAGGCACAATTCCGTAGAGTCCACCTTCCAAAGGGGTCATTTTCTTCAGGGAAACTGATCTCTATCCTCTGGACATCAGTTATAATCCCAGGAGATCTCCAGGCACCCCCTGGATGTTGGCAACCCTACTGGTTGCAAGCATAAGCCGTGTGGCTAATCAGCAAAATATGAAGCTGAATTGAAATGCTGTCCTTGCTTGGTGAACAGACTTAGAAACGAGCAAAGGCTTCTTGGGGCTCTGGAAGGAGCTGATTACAAACCTGTTAAAAACTGATGTTTCTTGGGCAGATTCTTGTCTGCATTTTCTTGGGTCTGAAAGGGAAACAGCTTCGTTGCAGGACTTCCCAAGAAGCACTGGTCAGTTGTAGCAAGTGGCATAAAAAAAGAAGAGGACTGCCCAGCCTGCCTTTTAGACAGGGAGGTGGAGAGGTGCCTCTGAGAATCCATGGAGGTTTTTAAAAAGGTTTCTTCAAGGCATTGTGTTATTCCTCTGCAGGTTTACCCATACGCCCTTAATTTTTTTAAAAATAGAACAGGATAGAGGGAGACTCCTGATCGGCACATAAGAACACAAGGGGTGGGGGCTTCAATGCACATCAAGTGTGAAAGCAGAGTTGCCATCTCTGGGTTGGGAAATTCCTGGAGATTTGGCGGCGGAGGCTGAGGAGGACAGGGGTAGGGAGGGGAGTGGGTTCAGCAGGTAGAATGCCATACGGCCCACCTTCCAGAGCAGCCATTTTCTTCAGGGGAACTGATCTCTGTAGTCTGGAGATCAGTCATTCTTGGCAGCTGTGTGTAAAAGCAAAACCAGAGTTAAAACAGAGAAAAAAACTAATTACCTCCAGAATCACTGTTGCAAGGGCAAGTTAACACAGGATTGCATCAGGAACCTGACCACTACAGGAAAACACTCCGGTGTGGAAGCAGCCCTGCTCGGGAAAACGCAGGTACCCATTTTTCCCCCCCAGCAGAGGAAAAGCACCTTGGGGATTGCCTTTTCCACCAGGATAACATTAGGGAAGGAGAGTATTAAAGCTTCCCTCTCCCCCCCCCCCCCCCCCCACTGTTCTCACTCAAGCAGCATCAACAAAAGTCTTTTTACAAGCATGTAGAGGAACTCAAAACTCCTCCATTACAAGTTAAAATGGCCCAAGAAACACAGCCTCCCTGTCTATTCGGAGCTCCTTCCCATGCCCAAAGATCTGATAGGAGCACTTGCTCGGTGTATTGCACAACCAAGAGTATCTGAACAGATGCAAACAGGCACAAGTGTGGTTGCGTTAAAGGAGTAGCACGCCATGCAATAATGAACAAGAAAGAACCCTAATAATATGTGAAACCACAGGAAGAAAGGCTCTGGTTTTTTGCGGCATGCCCAGGACTGTAAAAAGGGGGTCGTGAAGCAGCAGCAGGCTGTGATGTTTGGATGGTGGGCTGCAGTCAGCTTGGGGAGCCACAGACTGGGAGCCCTGGAACACCACTGTGCCTGGTCGCCTATGGCGAGTCAGATTTGTCTCAAGGCGACCAGACAGGGGTGTTTTCCAGATGCATGATCTTTCTCATCCTTATCGTCCATGAATGACTAACAAAAGCATGCATGAACCAGGCGTGTGTGTGTGTGTATGAGAGAGAAAATGCTTTGCAGATAGGGTTGCCAACCTCCAGGTGGTGCCTGGAGATCTCCTGGGATTTCAACTGACCTCCAGGCAACAGAGATCCATTCACCTGGAGATCATGGCCACTTTGGAAAGTGGACTCTCTGGCATTATAGCCCATTGAAGTACCTCCCCTCCCCAAACCCCTACCTACTCAGGCTCCACCTCCAAAATTTGCAGGTTTTTCCCAACCTGGGCCCGGCAACCCTATTTGCAGAGGACTCCTAGGCAAGGCTACGGCAGGCCCCTCTGCTCGCAAGTCCTCGCCACTGCTGTCATTAACCGGGCCCGTGCTTGGTGTTGCTGTGCTTGCGCAGAAGCCTGTGGGTCCCCCGTTGCTGCACACTGATCATTCGTTTTCCTCACCATAGCCCGAGATGATCCACGGTGCACCCTGCGAACCTTCACCAGAGAGCGTGCCCGCTGACTTTTCACCAGAGAGTGCACCCCTTGACCTTTCGGAAGACAGTGACCCCTATGACCCTTCTGAAGAGACTCTGCTTTGTGGCCCTTCCCCAGAGAGCGTACCGTGGCCTCGGCCAGCCCAGGAGGAAAAGGGAGGCAGCCGCTTTGGGCCATCCAGGGATGATGCTAACCCTCTTCTCCTGAAACTCTGAAAGCACCAGCCCACCCCCGAATGGCCCCTGGCGTTCTCGTTGACACCAAGGGTTCAGCCCCGCATGTGTGTAGAGCAATTCAAGCTCGTTTTATTGGCTTGGGTTGCCAACTCCCTCTTGGGAATGACCTGGAGATTTGGGGAGGAGCCTACGAAGGGTGGGGTTTGGGGGAGAGGGACCTCAGTGAGGCATAATGCCATAGAGTCCACCTTCCAAAGCAGCTGTTTTCTCTGATCTGTGTAGTCTAGAGACGAGTTGTAATCTCAGGGGATCTCCAGCCACCACTTGGAGGTTGGCAACCCTACCATTTGCATTAGCAGGGTTATGTGTGTGGGGAACATTTGATTGTGCCACCTGTGGGAGGACAGGAAAGGGCAAGACCCGAATGAGAAATGGGGGGGGCAGTGCACTGTCGGGCACCCCACAATCCAATTTGACAGTCTCACTCGAGCTGTAGCCCCCCCGTGTTTCAGCTTCCCTTACCATAGAGCAGGAGTGGCCAAACTGCAGCTCAGGAGCCGCATGCGGCCCTTTCACACAGTCTAATTTAATGTGAATTTGCATATTTTCCAATAAAAACGTGTAAAATTTGTTCATATCTTCTGACCCTCAAACATCCGAAGTTTATTCTGTGTGGCTGTTACATTAAGCAAGTTTGGCCACCCCTGCCATAAAGCGAGGAAGGACTCGGCTTCAGTGTTCCCTCTAAGCTGAGTTAGTGTGAGCCAGGAGATTTCGTAGAAAAAGAGGTGCAGGAGCTTATTAGCATAACTCATTAGCATAACTTATTTGCATATGCCACCCCCCCTGACATCACTGGAAGTGTGTCAGAAAGCACCCCCCACCACTCAGGCTCCACTGGACTGTTTTGGATTGCTAGCTATGGGGGGGGGGAACGAGCAGATCTGTCCTTACAGAGGAGGGAGAGCTTGTACCTGAATAAAACTTGGTCTTAAAGGTGCCACTGGACTGTTTGGGATCGGGGGGGGGGGGGGAGTTCTGCAACTTACCTGGCTGCTTCTCGTTCTCACTGAGGGCTGCTGGGAGCAGGGGGTGGGGCTTGTTGCATGTGCCCGCCCCCTGGGCTCTTTACTGCTGGAGCTCCGGTCCTGAAGAAAATGACCCCTGGGGTGAGCTAGCTCAGTTTTTTAGCCTCCGGCTCACACATTTTTGTCTTAACTCAGGAAGGAGGGCTCCAGAGCAAGCTAATTTATGCAGTAGCCAAATCGCTCGCCCACAACTTTTAATGCCAGTAGCTCACAAAATAGAATTTTTACCCACAAGACTCCACAGTTTAGAGGGAGCATTGCTCGGCTTGCTTGGTAGGAACAGGGGTACCGTTTCAGTGTGCAGGCAGCAGGGACACTCAGCAAAGGCCCAGCAGTTTCTAACAATGCTCACCTAGTGCATTAACCAGAGAATCCACCACAAATGTAGGCCAAGTATGAGGAAAGTTCCAGAGGGGCGGCCATGTTGGTTTGCAGTAGAACTAGATCTGAGTTCAGGAGCACTTTAGAGGCCAAGATTTGCAGAGTTTAAGGCGTTCAAGACTCAAGGCTTCCTGCGTTGGGTTATCTGATAAAGGAAGCTCTGACTCTCGAAAGCTTTTCAGGGCTTTTGTTCTGGGGGAACGCACTAGAACGGAATTCCGGAACCTCTTTGAACAAAATTCTTTAAAGAATGTTTAAAAGTTAATGAGTTTCCAGGATACCGACTGAAAACTTCACTTCCCTCTGGAGAGTTCCGGCACCTCATTTTCAAAAAAGAAAAAAGGGGGGGGGGAGTCCGGTTTATATTCCCAAAATCTTGTTGGTCTCCAGGGTGCTCCTGGATTTAAATCTAACTATGAGGAATAATCCCAAGGACTCTGAAAGCCACAGAGTGGCAGGGCTGCCAGCTCCAGGTTGGGAAATACCTGAAGATTTCGGGGCTGGAGCCTCAGAAGGGCGGGGTTTGGGGCATAACGCCATGGAGTCCGACTTCCAAAGTGGCCATTTTCTCCAGGTGAGCAGATTTCTGTTGCCTGGAGATCAGTTGCAACAGCGGGAGATCTCCAGCCACTTCCTGGAAATTGGCAACCCTGCAGTGAGCATTGTCATGTTCTGACATACCTGACCAGCACCCCTCTGCTGAGATCCTCTCACACTTCTTGGGCCTCTTAGGAAGAAGAAGAGATTGGATTTATACCCTGCCCTTCACTACCCAAAGGAGTCTCAGAGCAGCTTACAAACTCCTTTCCCTCCCCCTCCCCACAACAGACACCCTGTGAGGTAGGCGGGGCTGAGAGAGCTCTGACGGAAAGTGCTCTTTTTCAAGAACAGCTCTGACAGAACTATGGCTTGCCCAAGCTCGTCCAGCCAGGTGCAAGTGGAGGAGTGGGGAATCAAACGGTTCTCCCAGATTAGAGTCCACGCACTTAACCACTACACCAAACTGTACACCAAAGTAGTTTTGGCTTCTGGCTCCCCAAACACCTCCCAGCTCCTAGAGCGACTTGGGACTTACCTGAACATCACCAACCACTCATTTGCCTATCGTAGCCCTTTTTCAGCTTTACACTGGTTCTCTCATTGGTCTGTTCATAGAATAAGAGGATTGATAACAGCACTTGTAGCGGTGTGGCCTAAATTCTGGAGACTTCGGGGAGACTGGGTGTGTTCCGTTGCAAGGGCTAGGAGCATTGGCGCGTCTCCGCTTTCATGTGCTCCCGAGTCTGTTCTGCAGAGGCTCTGCCTGCCTGCTTTCTGCTAGCCGCTGAACGCCGCATAGCAAGCTGATGCAATGATGCTGTCCTTAGTTTGAATCTGCTTCGTTGCCAATGCAAGCGAGCCCGTCCTAGCGTGGGGCATTTCTTGGCCAAGCTTTGTCCACAGAGCGGTGTGTGCCAAGCATGCAAGAGGTCAAGGAGCCAGGACATAAATTTGCCAAAGATTTTTTTTTCCTGGTGGAAGGAATAAAGACATGACAAATAATCCCCCGAGAATGGGGATTCCCGTTCCCAAATGTGTGCCCATTTTGTTCACTCAGTCTTCTCACCAACCCGCTCTGATCATACCACCAGATCTCCCCAAGGGAATCCTAGAAGGCAGGTGAAATAGCTATTGAGAACACTGGTCTGCTGTCTCTCTAGACAAGGGGCAGTTGGGGGGAAATACAAACATTTGCAACATGTGGGGGGGGGGGTTGTCATCAAGTTGCAGCCGACTTATGGAAACCCCAGAGGGTTTTCAAGGCAAGAGACATTCAGAGGCGGTTTGCCGTTGCCTACCTCTGCATAGCGACCCTGGTATTCCTTGGTGGTCTCCCATGCAAATACTAACCAGGGTCGACCCTGCTTGGCTTCTAAGATCTGACAAGATCAGGCTAACCTTGGCTATCCAGGCCAGAGCAACATGTCATCAATGGCTGTTTTTTTGCCTTCAAGTCGCAGCTGACTTATGGTGACCCCACAGGGTTTTCAAGGCAAGAGACGTTCAGAGGCGGTTTGCCGTCTGCACAGCAACCCTGGTATTCCTTGGTGGTCTCCCATCCAAATAGTAACCAGGGCCGACCCTGCTTAGCTTCTGAGATCCAAGGAGGCCAGGCTCATTGGGGCTATCCAAGTCTGGGCGACGTGAGATTAGGTCCTAATTAAAAGCCAACCGTTGCAGATCACACAAGTGACAGGTCTGAACAGGATGCTACTTTCTCCCTGATGTCCGATAGGTGGCTGCTGATGGTGGTTGCTCACTGTCAAGGAGAAATGCATTTTACACGTACAGGTACTCTTTGCTGCTTTTTCTAAAACGAAACCCTGGAGCAGTACAATGAGTAAACCTGCTGCCGCCCAAATGTTCTCTTCTACACAAATATTTAAAATATCCGAGTTCTCTTTGGCACAGCGCGGGACAGCCACAGACTTGGTGTCTGCTCTTGGACAAATCCTTGTGTATAAAGGGACTCTGTATAAAGGCATGGATTATGTTTTAAGAATGTTCTGCCGGAAGACTTGCTGGGTTGGATCCAAACAGCTTTTTCTGCTGGTGACAAGGGAAGGCGGGGGTCCCCTTTAACCCCAAATGCCTGCGCTAGGGCTCAGGAGAGCTGCATGGACAAAAGGCATAAGGGACATCAGCTGCATTACGGTGGGGAACTGGTTGACTGTCAGGAAGGGGGACCCCCGGCCCCCTATCTGCCTATACAAGGGACCCCAGAGGGGCCTGATGGATCACACGCCGTAGGTTTGGCCCACAAGTGTGAACATGGGGGGGGGTGTTGGGAGGGAGAGCGTGGGGACAGACTCGGAGGCCCCAAAGAGGGGGACCCCTCCGAGGGGCTTACCTTCCTTACAGGGCCGATGAAGGGGCTACCTGGGAGGGGGACCTTCCAACAGGGACTACCAATACTCAAAAAGGTGTTGAGAATAGGCATTGGCTAGAGGAATGGCTTGGGGACGCGGGAGGCGCGCACCGGCAAGAAATAAAGGCAGATTGCTACCCTGGCAGCTGGGGAGGATAAATCCCAGTCCAAGGTGCCGTGGAGGGGGTGCATCTGCAAGGGAGTGAAGAGAGAGAGGGAAACCTCCAAACCGGGACTGTGGAAGGTTCAACAGGCGTGAAGGAACTCTGGTGACACCCCCACATCTGAGGCCGCTATCAGAGACAAGAAGCCTTGATCCTGCCTCTGCCAGGTGTGTGCCCCCCTATCCAGGGTGCCGGGACGGCTCAGAATCGGACACTGACATCGAGTGAAAAGGGTGCTCGGATCCGGATTTGGACCTGTCCTTCCCCAACAATCTCAGCTGAAGTGGAGGGAATGGATGTGGGACAGGAAGGGAAGTTTAGAGGGGGTGGGGCAAAGGGAAGAACTACGGTAGGATAGAATGTTGAACACCATCAGTTTCGCAGGGCTGTGCTGTTTAGTCTTGCTGCAAGGAATATGCTTCCATTTTGCTACTGTTTCTGGGCACCGCACCTACACAGGCTACCCTAAAGTTACATGTGCTGCCATGAAACGAATCCATCCTCTCCCTCCTCCCAGATGTGCCTCCACAGATTCTGAATGCGAGCCACTCAACCACACCCTGGGAGGGAGAGGAATGTCGATGTGGCTGCCGGAGTTGTGTGTTCTTGGCGAGGTGCGGTGTGCCTCCTCTGGCTCCCTTGGCTTTGAATTCCT